TAGGAAGTAGCTAGGGACAGCATGGATAATGGAGCCAGTTGTGGTGGCACACACCTGTAATTCCAGCACCCTGGGAGGCTGAGGCAGGATTGCAAGTTTGGGCCCAAACCTGGGCAATTTAGCAAGTTAGTGAGACACTGTCTCAAAATGAAAAAAAAAAAAAAAAAGAGGGCTGGGGATGCAGCTCGATGCAAAGGTCCTGGAATCCTGTATCACTTACACTGTTTCGTTTTAATTGCCTTTATATGGTTTTATTTTGCTTGATTTTATTCCCTTTAAAATAAAAAAAATTTTTTTTCATGACTTTCAATGCAAGAATTAATGATTAATCAATCATTAATACTGGAATTAAAAAAAAGAGCCAAACAGAAAGCTGTGAATAATTGCCTCATGAAAGCCAGAACAAGGAGCACACTTAGAAATGATGGAACTGTAAGCTCCCCTTGTTTACCAAATGAGTGAAGTTGGGGGGAGGCGATTTACTTATCACAGATGAGCAAAACTGGCAATAAAACCTAAACTTGTAAAATAGTCTTGAATTTCCTTCAGGGTGCTGAAGAGAAAGGTTATGGTAAACACACCCCACTCTCCCTCCCTTTGTGGAAGTGGTCCCTTCCACAACACTGTTTACTTTGGAAGAGGAGGAGAGGTTTATGCTTGGGGAAAGAAACTTCGGCTGTATCGACATCACTAGGATGTTTTTCACATTGTTTTATTATACTGTTTGCAATAATTCCTTCAAGTTACAGATCTTTCCATTCCAAGAGTAATCAATTACTAATTAATAGTAAGAGAATCCAGCAAGTCCTGTGTTAAGCCAGTCAACTCTTGAGCAAATTTCAGAGTTAAGATATTGTACACCTTGATCTGAGGGTGAAAAAAAATCTCAAGTTTTCCTGAGCTTCTGGAGGCACAAAATGCCTTTGAAAATGAGCTGTCTGCCAAGCTTTTAGCTGCCAAACATTTTGTCACTCCTCTCTCCTACCCCAACAACTTTCTTTTGCTGTAATAAAATACCTGAGGTGAGTTACCTTGCAGGAGGAAAGATTTATTCTGGCTTAGGGTTTTAGAGGTTCAGTCCATGGTCACTTGGCTCTCTTGCTTTTGGGTCCATATTGAGAAAGAACTTCAAGGCAGGGGCTGGGGATTTAGATCAGCGGCATAAGCACCTGCCTTGCAAGCAGGCAGTCGTGAGTTCGATCCTTGGTACCGATAAAAAAGAAAAAGACAAAAAAAAAAAAAAAAAAAAAAAGAACTTCAAGGCAGAAGAATGGCAATATGGAGGAAAACTGTTCACCTTGTACAGTGGGGAAGCAACAAGAGAGGGAAGGGGGCAGGGGTCCTTCTTTAAGAGTACAACCTCCACGACCTGCTCCCTCCAACTGGGCCCTGCACATCACTGCTTTGTCATCCAAACCTTCAATGCATGAACTTTTGAAAGACATTTAAGATCCAAACCCTAATATACTCTGTCTCTGTCTGCTCTGTTTGATGTGATTTGTCCCCAGTGGCTTGTCCTTAGTGTAGTGGCATGGCGGTAGTGCTTTTATTTATTTATTTTTTGTCTTTTTCCTTTTTATTGGTACCGGGGATTGAAGGCGGTGGTGCTTTTGTGTGGTGGGCTGTAGCAGGAGTGGTTTGCTCACTGGAGATTTTGTTTTGGAGGAGATTAAGGTAGTTTCTTTGAGATGGCCATGAGATCTTGAGTATGAGTTGTTATAAAAAACAGAGCTGGACATCTGAGTCCCTGTGTGGTTTCCTGTCTCACAGGGGATCCTAAGGTTATATCACCACCCCATGAGGCATTCATTGGTGGCCAAATTGATAGGGCTGCTTGATCTTGGACCTTCAGCTCCCAAACTGTGGGCTTTATAATCTTTTGTTTATAAAGTTCCCAGCTTTATGTGCTTTGTGATAGCAACAGAAATAGACTAATAAATTTCTCTCATTTTGAAATAATACAGGACTATCATCCCTTATTTAAACTCATAGGCAGATAGGTATGGATTCAAAATTTCTTGGGTTTTAGAAAGATAACAGTAAATATTTTGAATCACCCCCTAGTGGAGTTAGGGATAACATTCCATAAACAACCACATTTTTATTTTGCATCAAAATAATAGTCACACGAGTGGGATAAGCTCCTTTCATGTCATTTTTATCACTATTATTTTAAAAATTATATTTTAGACTTAATAATTCTGAATAAAGGATACAAGCCTATGGTGAGCCTGCATCCTTCTGACCCATTAGAAAAGTGTTTATGTTTTTTTAGTCCATGTTCAATTTTTTGTTATTTGTTGGAAGTGATTCATTATATTAATTTCAGAGACACATCCGCTACATTTTGCTCTGGTCCCTAGTTCTCAGCATCTGCACTGCATGAGTTAGATTTCCAAGGCATGATGAAGGAGCCATCTGCCTTCATGTTTCACCAATGTCACACTCCCTGCACACTCCTAATGGACTTAGTAACTACTCATTTTAGAAAATCCTTTATACCTGTGCAACACAACACAGCTTTATAATTTCGCTTTTTAAGGCTACCAAAGGTTCTGTTGTTTGTTGTTTTGTTTTTGAAGCCCATCACACTACGTAGTTCAGGCTGGCTTTGAACTTGCAAGAATCCTCCTGCATCAGCCTCCTGAGTGCTGTGATTACAGGTGTGCATCACTGTGCCAGCTCAAAGGCCATTAAAGTTCTCTTTTAAAAATTTATTTATTTTATTTGATTGGTACCAAGGATTGAACTAACGACCTCACACTTGCTAGGCAGGTATTTGTGCCACTGAGCTAAATTTGTGCCACCCAGCCCAACTTCTCTTTTTTTTTTTCTTTTTGAGAAAGGATTTCATTATACAATTAGTTCAGAATAGCCTTGAACTCACTTTGAAGCTCAGGCTGGCCTCAAACTTGCAGTGATCCTCCTGCCTCAGCCTCCTGAGTGCTGTGATAACAGACACGCACCACACACCAATCCCAAGGCTATTAACGTTCTTATATCTGAAAAACATATTAAACTACAAAAAACAAGAACAGAGGCTGCAAAGGAAAAATAGAGAACACTGATCTTAACTTTATGTTCATGTACAAACCTTGATTAGTCAGATCCATGCTTGACTAGATGCCAAGAAAATCACTACTTTCTCTTAAATCCCTCATAGCATCATAGAGACCAACCCTTCAAAATTCAAGACAGGAAGAGTTAGCCATAATGTTCTCCAATCTCAAAGAAAAGTAGTAAAAAGACTGTAGTTGGAAAAGTAGGTGGGGGGAACAGAAACTGTTTTGTGTAGGACAGGATGTACTAACATGAATACACACTGAACCTGAATTGTAGAAAGCTGCAAATAGAGGAACCTGCCACAGATACTAAAAGAAAAACAAAAATACAAGAAAGAGATGGGGACAGGTACCGTTTTCAGATTGTAACCCATTGCTTAATGCAGTAATCAAAGCTACTCACCAGTGCAGCCATTTGCGAAAGTGAAATTTCACATACAGTGCTGCTAAAAATACCAAAAGCCATACATAATGTCTGACCTAAACTGCCACCTCATCTAGAAAATTCTTACATGGGAGTGTAAGAAAGGCTGCTTGACTGGTTCAGTGTCCTTCCTGCAGTCCAGAGACTGCTTTGTCTCCACACTGAGCTCCCAGGGTCTCTCCCACTTCCTCCTCCTCAGAGGCACAAAAGGTTTTTGTCAAATTTCTCTTGATTTTCCTGCTGGCAGCCAGAGACCCCGTGCCACGTGCCTGGTGTGGCGGGATCAGGTATGATTTCATCCGATGGGAGCTCCTGGATGTTTCACATGGCGATGAGAATTTTCCCTGGACCAGTTCTGCCAGAGGTTGCCCCAGATGCTGCTGCTTATTCCAAGCAACCATGAGCAGCAGCTCCTCCTACTCCTCAGACCTTGCTCTCCATAGGGTCCTCTGGGCTCCTTTGTGTCCCTCAGGAATCCCATTTCCCAGGATCTATATTGGGTGACCTCTCCAGGGTGAGGTCTAGTCTAGGACCCTAAAACTATTTACAACTAATTGAGAAGGCCTGTAATCGTATGAACTTAGCTAAAAAATCTGACTGGGGTGTTTATCAGGGGGCCTCAAGAGTCCAGGGACATGAGTGTCAACCACCATTTGGCCTTTTACCTTGGGTCAACTGTCAGCTATACACCAGCTCCTTTTTCGGTACTAGGGATTGAACCCATGGCCTTCGCACTGAGCAAATCCCAGCCCTTTTTTTAGGGGGGAGGGGTCTTGCTACCAGGCTAGGGCTCAAATTTGTGATCTTCCAGCTTCAACCTCCCAGAACTCTGGAATTACAAGGGCGTGCCCTCACGCTCCACATGAAGGGTGCAGAGACCCTTTGCCTAGCAGAGACATTATATGGTCACTGCTTGTCATTGTGACCCATTTGAAACTGCCCCTGGCCAGGTAGGGTGCAGGAAGGGCTTGTCACGGGGGGTGGAGCGCATCCTCCTGTAGGGGGCGAGCGCTGCACACTATCCTCTCACTAGGCCCGACCTTCCCTGCGGTCTCGGTGGGGACTCCAGGGGTGCGAGGACCTCGCCAGGGGTGGGATAGGTAAGCAGTGGGGTGGCTACGGCCCGGCCCAAGAGAGAGAGTACCCCATATACCCTACACGTGACCTGGCTGACTCGGGCGGGCATCAGGGATTCACACCTCCCGGGAGGGGGACTGTTCCGTCACCGGTGGGCCCATGAAGGAGTTGGGGGCGTCAAGAACGCCAAGACAATACAGCGTGGTCGCCAGGGGCGACTGGCGGGCAGGGGCGCGCACCTCCCTTCCTGCTGCGGGCTCCGCTTCCAGGAGGCGCGGCGGCGAGCGCGCCGATTGGCGGTCGGGTACTCGCGTCGCCCCGCCAGATGCCCCGCCCCCGTTCTACCCCGCCCCTCTCAGCGGGAGGCGCTCGGGCGCGCGGCTGGGTGCCGGGCAGTTCCCGCCGGCTGTGCGCGCCCGTCCGTCCGCCTGGGCTCTAACACGGAGAAGACTCGCGCGGGGAAGACGCGGCGGCCTCGGCGCCCACGCTCGCAGGCGAACGGCGGCCGAGCTGCGGGGCCGCGCCGGCCCTGCACCCCTGGCGGCTCCCGCGCTGCGCTTGCCTTTGTCCGCTGGCCGGAGCGCGCGGCGTCGCTGACCGAGGCGGCGGCTGCCCCCTGGCCCCGCGCGCCGCGGCGATGCCGGACAAGATCTCCGTGTCGGAATTCGTGGCCGAGACCCTCGAGGACTACAAGGCGCCCACGGCCTCCAGCTTCACCACGCGCACGGCCCAGTGCCGCAACACGGTGGCGGCCATCGAGGAGGTCGGTGAGGGACTGGGCCCCCGGCAGCCGCGCCCCCACCCCCCCGAGGCCCGGGAAAAGTTTCCCGGCCAGGAGCCAGGCGAGCCCGCCGCCTTGCCCGAGACAGAAGCTCTTTGTTCCCACGGAGGTGGCTGGGGCAGAGGCCGGTGGCCACCTCGGGCCTCTTGAAGACCCTGGCCCCTCCCCGCCCTCGTTTCCTCCACAGGGTTCCCCAACTGCGACCCCGTTCCCCTTCTCCCGGCACTGCCCGCTTAGGCCCCGGTCGGGGTCCGCGGGTGCAGGGAACTCCTCTGCCCGCCGCGCCCCAGGGTCGTGGTACCCTGCGCGCACCTCACTAACTTGTTCCAGAAGTGGCCCAGTGGGTGGACCCCGAGTTCTCGATGCGGCTCCCCCCAAACCTCGCTGCGGCCCACTTTCAGACAGGTCCATGGGATCCCCACTGAAGGAGAGGGTACCCACCCTGGCCAGGGAGGCCTGGCTCCCCCCAGGTGTGGGAGAGGAGAGGAGCGCTGGCGCAGTGTGGAGACTGCAGGCAGGGTGGGAGGTTCCCAAGGCCGCCGTTGGCCTCTGCCCCAGTACCTGTGTCTTACCTGTGGGAACCCAGATTGCCTTTCTTTCCCTCCCAGCCTGGAAAAGGCCTTGATTTAGTAAAGTGCTTTCAAGGTGCAAAGTCATCCGGCCCAGTTGCTATCAGCGAGCTCTCCAGAGCTCTGGGAGGGGAAATGCTTTGGAGACAAGCTGCACAGATTAAAAATCCAAGCATCCTGCAGAGTGGAAGGGGGCAGCCCAAGTGTCCAGGGGCCACGGCCGTCTGTGCTTGGCGACAGAGACTGACCCCTCTCCTCATCTGCCTTCACCAGACAGGCTTGGTAAGGCATCTTTTCCTCATCAGGGGCATTGTGTGTAAAGCGCTCAGCCCTGTGCCTGGCGCATAATAGGTACCTGGCTCACACACCTCACCTGTAGCAGCGATGAATGATGGTGCCATTTGTCTTACCCAGAACGTAAAGCTGCAGGTTTCAAATTGGTTATTGTGTGTATTTTGGAAGAAAATACCCAGGTTGGAGTGTGGGAAATGGGGAGGGGGGTCACTTAGAGAGCTTTCTTTAAGCCCTGGTTGTTAAAATTCTCCCTGCAGTTGAGCAAAGCATCTGCTGTTAGGAATTGCTTGGGAGAAAAAGTCTAGAATGTTTTTCCTCAGTGGAAATTTTTTCTTTGTAGACTTAAATTTTTTCTTTGTAGACTAGGCTAAATGAAAAACATCAGATTCAGCTTTCTGGGTGTTGAAAGTGGGGCTAGGGTCCCCTCTGCTTTTGGCCAAGAACTCTGCATGTAAACATTTTCTCAGGAGTTTAGTGATGCCTCACAGCCCTTCATTTTGGTCTTATCAATAAGGCTTAAAATATCCGCCTTAGACAAGGTAGGTAGGTATGGTATGGAGTTTCTTGACAAGTGGCAGTTTTAAAGTAATAAGAAAATGATGTTTTGAAAATGCTATGGAAATGATTGCTATCAGAAAGGTAGCTCAGTTAGTTCTTAAAGGAAGGAAACTTGGTACGTAATGTCTTTTTTTTTTAAAGCTTGATTGTGTTTAAAGTTGTTTTTTCCCACTTTTTATCAGTTAAATATTATTAACACTGGCAGATGCTGGAAAACCAGACCAATGGGAATTGCTATTAAAAATGGCACCCCCTTTCCCTGATTAATTTTAGCTTACAGTAGATGAGTCTAAAACTCTTTTCGTGTGCTAGGCGGATTACCCTAGAGCTCAGTTACTGAGCAGATTAAAGAGAGACTGGATTTGGTCATTTTGTTAAATTGCAAGCTTGCTTTGTCTCCAAGCAGGAAAGTGGGTTCAAGTCTTAAAAATGGAAAAAATCAAAATCATTGTAAATGTGTCTCATTTTAAATAAATCCATGGTGCATATTTTGATGATGGCAAGTGTGAGCTTGGGTTTATAACCAAAATTGAAACAAAACAAAACAAAACAAAACAGAATTGAAAGTTGTTTACTTTCTGAGCGGAATCAGCATGGATCACTTTAGATAGTGCTTTTTTTTCCCCTCTAGAGAGTAATGTACAGTTCTGTTAATAAAAGCTTGTTCCGTGTGTGGGTTAGTGACGAATAATGACCACAGTATTGTGGCTTAAAGCAAACATCTGTGGAGTTATTTTTAAATTTTTTTATTTTTTATTTTATTAGAATGTCTGCAGCTCACAGTGTGCAGTCATCTTTGGGAGTGGGTGCACCTGCATACCACAGCTTCTTTTCTTAATCCCCTTGCCTCCCCCAATTCCCCTATCCATTTTTTCATTCTTATTGATATTATTAATCTTAGCTTAGGTTGTGGCATGTAATGTTTACATTAATTGAGGTTAGTAGGTTCCTGTACATAGCACATCTTTTTTTTTTTTTTTTTTTTGTCTTTTTCATTTTTATCGGTACCAAGGATCGAACTCACGACCGCCTGCTTGCAAGGCAGGTGCTTATGCCGCTGAGCTAAATCCCCAGCTCCACATAGCACATCTTTATTTTTTTCTGCTTATTTTCCCTTCCCTTTCCTTCCTTTCCCATCCTTATCCCTTACCCCTGTTCCTTGGTCCACTTCCCTGTTCCAAGAGATCCATCCATTTCTTGTCCTCGTCTTCCCATCCTTAAAAATCTCTTCGTTTGTACTTTATCTCACTCAAGTGAGAGATACCATGTGGTATCTAAGCTGGAGTGTCTGGTTTATTTCATGCAACATTATATTTTCCAGGTGCATCCATGTCCTTACAGATGTCTCAAATTTGTCATTCTCTATAGCCAAGTAGTATTCCACTTTATATAGATATCGCATTTTCTTTACCCAGTCATATACCGATGAACAAAAGGATTTAGCCATTACAAGTTCGCTGTAGTATGATGACTGAAGCTCTATGGGGAAGATACCTCGTAGAGGGATTCCTGGGTCATATGGAATTTCAAATTTCGGTTCTTTGAGAAGTTTCTATACTGATTTCTGTAGTGGTTGTACTAGTTTGTATTCCCACTGCCAGTGAAGGAGGGTTCCTTTTTCCTCACAGCCTCGCCAACATTTGTTATCTGATGTCCTTTTTTTTTTCTTTTTCTTTTTTTATTGGTACCGGGGATGGAACTCATGACCACATACTTGCAAGGCAGGCGCTTATGCAGCTAAGCTAAATCCCCAGCCCTGTTATCTGATTTTTCTTTTTTTGGTCTTTTTCCTTTTTATCCGTCCGGGGAATCGAACTCACGACTGCTTGCTTGCAAGGCAGGCACTTATGCCGCTGAGCTAAATCTCAGCCCCTGTTATCTGATTTTTAAATGCTAGCCACTCTTCGTTCCATAAGATGGAATTTTAGCATTGTTTTAATTTGTATTTCATAATGACCAATTATGTTGAGCATTTTTTCACATATTTGTTGACCATTTGCATTTTTCCTCTGTGAAGTGTGTGTTATTTCTCTTGCACATTTTTTGATGAGGTCTTGAATTTTAGTTGGTTTAATTTTTTGATTTCTATGTATATTCTAAATATTAGTCCTCTGAGGAATACCTGGGGAAAATTGTATCCTGTCCGAGGTTGTCTCTTGCTTGCTGATGCTATGTATCTTTTTAGTCTGATGTAATCCCATTTGTTTATTCTTGCCTACTACTTTTTTATTTTTTAATTTTTTTTCCTTTTTTTTTTTTTGAGGAACCGGGGATCAAACTCAAGACCTCGTGCTTGCCAGGCAGGCGCTTATGCCACTGAGCTAAATCCCCCATCTTAAGTGTTTTGCCTATTTTGTCTTCCAATAGGTTTAATGGCAGACATCTGTTTATACTGAGATGAGACAGGAGAATGAATATTGTGATATTAAAGTTATACATTGAGGCAGGCCGGGGATTTAGTTCAGTGGTCTTAAGCACTTGCATGGCAAGCTCAAGGTTGTGAGTTCAATCCCCAGTACAAAAAAAAAAAAAAAAAAAATGCATTAAGTAGAAATAAAATGAATCTAAAATTTGCAAGCCTTTAGTCCTATGTTTAAGTAAGATGAGTAAATAGAATTACTAAACTAATTTTAAACTGATTAATCTTTGCAAATATATTTACTTATAATGGAAGCCATGTCTGCTCAGTCATTTTCCAATTGAAATGTACTTTTAAAATTTACGCGTCTGTAGCTGAAATGTTAGTACTACCTGGTGTCCAGGCTGTACTACTGCAAACCTTGTATCTGTTGTCTTTGGTCTTGGTCCTTGATTCATAGAGGAGGAAGTTGAGGCCAGGTGAGGTTAAGTAATTTGCTCAAGGTTATTGAGCTGGTAGGTGAATTTGAACTTGGTTTCTTGCTGTTTCAAAAACTATGCTATTTCCTGTTTTAGTAGTGCTACGTTCTCTAAATTGCTTCAGATCAGTCTGGATTCAAGTTCAAAATCCACTATTGGGGGCTGGGGATTTAGCTCAGCGGCTTTAAGCACCTGCCTTGCAAGTAGGCGGTCATGAGTTCTATCCCCGGTACCGAGAAAAATGAAAAAGACAAACAAACAAACAAACAAAATCCACTATTGGCTTGCTAGTTGCGTGAACTTTGGTGAGATACCTTGTGCGTTTTCTTTTTTTTTGGTCTTTTTCATTTTTATTGGTACCAGGGATTGAACTCACGACTGCCTGCTTGCAAGGCAGGCACTTATGCCGCTGAGCTAAATCCCTAGCCCCACCTTGTGTGTTTTCATTTTCTACACTGCAGAAGTCTGGGTAGCAGTACCCATCTTTCTGGAGACTGTGACAAGAATTGTCAGTAGCTAACAGATGAGTGGTTGAGTAAGTGCTGACTGCTTACCAGATTGGGAATAAACTGCTTACTCAGACCGTGGAGTGAGTGGGAATGAGTGGGGTGTAGCTTGAAACAGGAGAAATCTTAGCATGAGAGCATAACTGAAAACCACCACGGTCCCTTACCTCATGCATACCTCTTAACCAGCTTACTGTCTCAGCCACAGGTGAGACCA